TTTTTTTTTTTTTTGGTAAGGTGAAGATCGAACGATGCGTCCAGCTGTTAATTAACGACAACGACGCGAACGGAAAAGCACGTGTCCGAAATAGAGTACGCCTCTGCGCACGAATATACCGTCCGGGGGGGATTATCTTTCACGTAGATACGTTGGTCTAATCTGGCGCGGTTGTTGCGAGCGACGAGAGAAAAAAAGAGGAAAAAAGTCCCGAGATAAGTGCGATCCGGCCGAGTTCGTCATTGACGAGCAAATTGCGCGATTCGCGCCGGACGTGTGTGTCATCGAGGTTCACGGATGATCGTTCGTCGATACTTGCGACGGACGATTCCGAAGAAGTGGAAATTATTTACTTACGATACACCAGCGCGAACTTAAAGAGACGCTCGCTGACCTCTCCACGCGTATGTCAACGTGTGACGGCATTATCGGCATGTACGTAACCACATTTCAGAAGTAACAGAAGCGAATAATATCAACACACATTTTACATTTGTAAAACTGGAAGAATCCCTCCTCCATTATTAGCGTTCTAATCGTTTTCACGCTCGCGCTATCCTTATTTGTTTCTATTAATTAATACAGCCGCCTGAATACGGCACCGCCTGACTTTAATTAATAAATAACGGATTCTTGGAAAAGGTCTCCGAACTCGATGATATTTTCAGCAGTTATTAAATTAATTATAGAACGAAAACAAACACGGCAGATCGATATCCGTAACATCATCGTGTATTTAGGACGTTAAGAATTACGTTGACGATTGAGGTGCGTCGAGGACGTGTTACAAATGATTTTGTAAAAAAATATTACAGACGATCTTGGTAAAACGACTTGGTAAAAGAAAAGTCATTTGCGAAATTATATTTTCCTTCGGAGTTACCAGCTCGTACCCATTTGTATCGTTCTGCAAATATAATTAGGCCAGCGAGCTGGTATGAAAGTCAAGGCGAGGCAAGCCAAGTACTTAGTCGCGATGCGCATTGCGAGTAATTTGGCGCGCGTAATGCGCGAAGCACGAACGGCACGAGAACAATTTTTCGAACTCGGCGCACTTCGCCGCACCTCATCGTGTCGTCGGCGCCGCCGCCGCCGCCGCCGCCGCCGCCGCCGCCCCCCCCCGCGCGGGATTTACACAACTCTTTCAATTAAAACTTTTTCGCAGTTTATCTTTCCGCGCACCGAAAAAAAATTAGGTTCCGCGCGCGCAGTAACGAGTTACGTAACGGAGCGCGGCCGGCGCCGTGCTTTTCGAGCTTCGGCCGGGAAAAAAATTCATCGTCACGTTCAACGAGCGTTCCAAAGCGGGAAGAGGACCGAAGGTTAACGCGTCCGTAAAAGAAATTAGTGTGCCGTCAAGGTTAAAGCCTTAATTTTTGCCTGCTAAAGCCTATCCTCCTAATGTATTGCCTCTTGACCCTTTGCGAGGGACTTGAATGTCTGACCTGCCGACTCTCGTTATCCGCGTTTCGTATTTACTATCAAACCTTCGTTTCCCATTTTCCGAGAAAAGTATGGTTCTTTTTTGGTTGTTGTTTTTTTTTTTTTTTCCCAAACGAAATTTGTCAAACTCTCGGCAAACTGCCTCGTTCCTGTAGCTGCTGATGACGAAACGCGACGTCGGGAACAAGCACCGATATATCACGTGGCGAACACAAACGTGTGTAATATGCAATACACATGTTGTGCATGTGTGGAGGAAAAAACGTGTATACGGCGTACTCACCTTGTGGTGCTGCATGATGGCAGTGGCCTTTCGCTTGGCGGACATATTCAGTTCTCCGGGGTGCCCTCTCTACCCCCCTTCGCGGAGCGGGAAATATCTGCCTCGCCGGTCTCTATCCGACTGTCCGCCTCTCTGTCCTCCTGTCTCTCTGTCCTTCGCTCTTCCGTCTGTTTTTCCCTCCTACTGGCGAGCCATAAGCGTCCACCCGAAGGCACAGCGACGATCACGAGGGAATACAAAGGCGGTAAAGAGGCGCGGGGGTTGACAACGACGATAAACGAGCGCACACGGCGACGAGTGCTCTCTCTTTCTCTCTCTCTCTCTCTCTCTCTCTCTCTCTCTCTCTCTCTCTCGTTCCCCTCTTTATTTCCTCTTCTGTCTCCTTTCTTCGCTTCCGCTTGACGGCTTCCTCTGGCACGCGGAGCGAGCGCGTAGGGAATGAGGTGTTCTTTCCGGAGCGACCGGCACGTCGCGAGTAAACTTTCTCGGAGAGCGAGTGTTTCGTGTTTCTTCTTCTGTCCCTCTCTCTCTCTCTCTCTCTCTCTCTGTCCTCCTCCTTTATGTTCGCACGCGCGCGCGCCCGCGCACTCCGCGTCCCACCTTGCGCTCGTGAACTTTAAGCTGTCACCCCGCGCACCCCCCGCGCGACGTAGCGACGGTACACAGCGGCGCGACGAAAGTTCCGCGGCAAAACCGCCCGCGCAGTTGGTTGTTGCAGTAGCAGGTGTCGGCGCCGCGCGAGATTAAAACGGTCGCCGCGCGCAACCGGAATCACGAGAAAGAATACTCGTGTGCGTTTTCAAACGCGCGAAGAAAGAAAAATGTTCTACTTTCCCTTCCCCGAGCTCTGCTTCCCGAAAAAAACTTTTCTTTTCACGCTACCTCACGCGCGTGCTCTTCTCAGCTGTCTCCTCTCCTCTCACTGTCTCTCTTTCTCGCTTCCTCTTTTCTATTCACGTCACGACGCGCACAAAGCGAATCCCACACAGCAAAGTACATCAAACCGGTGAAACGGTTTCGCGATCAGCTGGTTCGTCCGATCGCTGGAACATTCCGTTTCCAATCTCTCCGATCGACACGACGAATCGTCTTTCGTACACTAATTTTTCCGTCGATTACAAGACGCGGAACGGATAGTTGACGTGTGTGCTCAAGAGTTAATACGTTGCTGGTCCATCGATCGAGAAAAAGAAACGATTTCGAAGGCTTGCGCTCACTGTGTGACAGAGCCACTGCAATCTTTACCGAAGAATCGTTAGGTACCGCAGGAAAAACTACCTGCTCGCACGATCCGTTGCCTGCCTGCACGCTCGTTTCCTGTGTGCCGTTCACAGCGAGAAATGAGTGAAGAGCTCCCGCTGCTCTCGCTGCTCTGCTCACAGAACGTCCTCGCGTCACGAGCGCTCACGGCAAACTAGCAACTGGCGACGCGACGACGACGACCTCCTCCCCTCCTCTCACCGCAGCACCGCCGCCTCCACACGCTCCCCTCTCTCCGGTGTCCTCACCCCCCAGCTCCACGGTAGAGAGCTCCTCATACCGCTACCAACGCTTCACCCATACCCCACTCTCTCACTCGCCGTCAACTCGGCCCCTCTCTCTCTCTCTCTCTCCCTCTCTCCCTTCCCTACCATCCGTCGGTTCTCTCGCTCTCCCGCGCAACCCCTCATCACAGTCCTTCGACGACCCGCACCGCTCTCTCACTCCCCAGCGGCCCTCTTCGAGCGCGTCAACCCCCCTCGGCCCTCCTCGTCCCCTTCTCCCTTCCTCGCCGTGACCATCTCTCTCTCTCCCTTCCTCTCTCCCTCCCTCTCTCTCTCTCACTCTATCTCTATCTCTCTTCCGTTCCCTCTCGTTTCTGCTTCTCTTGTCCCGGCGCCCTCGTCGACTCCCCCTCGACCCTCGACCCTCCCCACTCGGTTTGGTGCGGTGGCGGCGGCGGCGGCGGCGGTAAGGTAGGGTCTGTCACCGTCAGAACATCGAGGGGGCCGCTGGACGAGTAACTCCGGGGGGGAAAGCGGGAGAGGGGGGGGTGGTGAGAGAGGATTCAAAGGGGCGTAAGGGGCCGCTGTCGGGCATCCGTTGGCGCGGGGAAGGGAGAGGGTGAGGGAACGGGCGGCAGGGACCTTTCCGGACGGTGAGGGCAGGGCGGCGGGAGGGTAGTAGTACAGCGTAGAACGAGGGGCCAAGGGGCGCCACAGCGCTCATCGGCCGAAGGGGCTTCCACGGGTGTGTTAGGCTTGTGCTTAGAAGGGTATGTGCTTTGCCCACCGCTTTGCCTCCTTCAGCGTACCATACATGTGCGGCACTGCTGTACGTGGACGTATCTACAGTCTCTTTCTCTCTCCCTTTCTCTCCCCCCCCTCTCTCTCTCTCTCTCTTTCTCTCTTTGGTCGGTCTTCGTCTATTTGAGTGTGTTGCTCTATCTGTACCTATACCACTCTCTGTATATCTCTCTTTCTCTCACACACGCACATTTATACACGCATTCCCTCTCTCTCTCTCTCTCTCTCTCTCTCTGTCTGTCTTTCTGTCGTTTGTTGTCTCCTCCTCACGCTGGACTCCGTTCTTTGCAGCATGCTGTCACACCAGTATGCCACTACCGGCGATACGTAACGTTGCCGACTTTGCCGCGATACCTGAAAGACGTAAGTCACAACGGCACCTCTTCGTCGAGAATGGCCCCTTTTCGCCTGTCCGCTTGTTTGCCTACCTGCGTACAACTTACCCTGGACCCTTATTCTTGAAAAGGGAACCTATACCAGGAAAAACCAGGAAAATTCTACAGTACACGTGACGTATACTGTAATATTTCTCTGGAACTGTCTACTTTCGTATACATTTCTTTTGAAGAATAAGAGGCCCTGAGCCTCAAAAGAGCATACTTTGGTATTGGGTTTGCTTTCTCGAATGCGAATGCATTTTTAAGTGCGATTTCTCTCCGTTTAACCTTGCGTATTGTTTGCTCGTTGTTTGCATCATTATCTTGCCACCTGGGTTAATCGTCGAGTGTCGACGATCTACATGTAAATAACAGTAACCTACTATTGTCTGAAACGTATATCCCCTTACACGTAATAATCTAAGTAATCCCAAGTAGTCGAAATCATCGATTGTCTCTTATCATTCAATTGTAAGTTACAAGAAATTAATCTGCACCCATTTGTACATGGACTTTAAACAATCATTAATATTTCATTGATATTTTCGCAATCGAAAACGATTGGCGGATGTTTATATAGTGGAATGTCGCACGAGATTGATCTTTAGACATATATTTTTCCTCGCTTTTACTTGTATTTTTATCTCCCCGCTTAAGCCTTCCATGTTATTAACCGATCGTCGCGCTGCCAGCCCGGATTAATATTTTACAGCTGGGTAAAACGCATCAAGTCCAATAATTATAATATCGAGGCGAACAGCGATTGTCGGACACGCCGTCGTCTTTACATAATTGCCGTTTTAAACTGGCGATTTAATCCGTTTCACATGATGAACGCATCATTAAAATCTGGTTCACAAAAGTGACGAACGTCGAAGGGAATATCGGAGGTGCGGTGTTAGGTATAATAAAGAAGCAATGATAATTTCCTTGAATTGAATGAAACGTTTTTCATTTCTACGTATATCAAAATGTAAATCCATTTTGGTGGTTAAATTTAATTCCGGAGGTAAACAACGTTTCATATTAACGTACGCATTTAGTAAATAAACTAAATTTGAACGAAATTTAATAAATTTCTTCAATTAAATTGTTTCATTCTATTGTTTTAGTTAGTTAAATTAATAATCTATTGAGTAGAACAGGAGCAACGTGGTGACCTGATAAAGATGAAAATATAAAAGAACTGAAATGGAGGCTGCAATTTAATGTTATTAATTTAACAGGATAGTTGACTTTCTTAAATCATCAAATTATCGTACGTTTCGTGAATGAACGGGACGACCTATACCGTCCTTACGATGGTACGTGAAAGGGTTCGTGCAAACTTATACTTTGGTAATTCTCCGACGAGAGATCGCAATTTTCCTTTGCCGTAAATCTGAAAACGACCGCAGTCAGCCAATCGTATGCGGTAGTCTCATCGGGTCAAGTACGAGCAAAGATATAGAAAGACTCCAGAGAGACGTAAAATCAGTGCTACGTTGATTAACCTTGATACCCGAAACGATCGAAATATTTTCTAAAAGTAATTTTTTGTCTGAGGTTAAAATACACATTAATCGCGTAGTTTATCTCACCAAAAGTTCACACGAAGTACAAAGAAATTAAGCGAGCGTAATTATTCGAAAACAGGAAAAAGAGTCATTTTGTTGATATATGTATCTAAAAATTTAGCTAGATCCTTTTATCAAAATAATTATGTGGAAAACACGAGCATAATGATTAACTTGATCAACTTGATCAACATTCTACATATAATTATTTTGATAGTCTGATAAAACAATTTTCTGATGTATATGTACACCTAGCTAAATCTTCAGATACTTTAGCAAAATCATTTTTCTATTCGTGAAGCATCAACTGTAATAATAATAGAATATTTCACAAATTTTCTAGGTTGGACCGCGTCGTCTAATGGAAGTTATAAGTTAATTACAATATAAAAAAAAAAAAAAAGAAGAAAAGTGCTGCAAAAGCTGTCTGAAGCTTTGAAAAATATGACAATTGCGATCGCCACGTAATTTCAACGAAGCCGCATCGCTGGAATTATCCATGCGGTGGGCGTACGTTGGACAAACGTCCGACGGAACAGACTAACAGAGGCTGCGATGTAGGAGTGACCTCGTAAAAGGCTCTGTAGTCTTAGGGGAAGTGGCCAAGTTATCGGGCCGGCGTCGTAAAATACTTTTTCTCTCGACTTTATGACGGTTATACCCCGTGCACAGACGTCCTCGGGGCTCCACCTGTCCGCTCAACTTCCTTCAAAAAGGCGATCTTTTTATTGGCCGGCCCGGTACTTTATTTACGACGTCTTCTGCGCGAATCGTTTTTTTTCCCCCCCTCCCCTCTTCTCCCTTTCCTCTCCCCTCTTTCTATCTGCTGGAAAGCGAAGAAAAAACTCGAGTCGCGATAAAGCGCGAACTCGTTGGGATTAATAACGTTTTCAACAATGCCGTGCGGAATGCGCACGGTAAATAAATGAATGGATGGAATATATGAATGCATGCGCAGACACGCCCACACTCTCGCTCTGTGTAGCCGACAAAGGAAGTCAATTGAAAAGTCGAAAGCGTAGGAAGAAAAAGCACGAGCTCTCTTCCCTTCTCAGAATAGACCCTAAAGGGATTATTTCTAATTCCTTCACGTCAATGGGACGAACGTTTGTCTCTTCTTCCCACCCCCCCCCCTCTTCCCTCCTGTCTCATGGCAGTACGCGATAACGATCTAAGCAACAGTTTGCTTCGACGGGGGGGGGGGGGAGGGGTAGGAAAGTTCGCGACGCGAGGAGCGTGAAAAGGCTTAAAAACTTCCCTCGCGAAAGTTCGATCTTTCCGATTCAATCTGACGCGAGATGATCCGTATCCTGCCTGCGGGAGATATTTGTAATTGCCTCGTTATCATCCTCATTATCGTTCTTGTAAACGTATTCGTCGTCAATATCGTTAGTCTTCTATAGGGTATCGCTCCTGCGTGAGTCGAGAAGTGTCTACTAACTTAATTCATTACGGTAACTTTTCGCAACGCAATAAGTTGGATCTGTCTTCTTCTCTCGTAGGTGTCACGGTAACGTATTATCGGTTTGATTAGCAGCTTAACATTAGCGACGCTAACGTTTCCTTTTGTTATTACCTTGAATTTTGTAATTTTCTAAATGATATATTTCTTTAAGATCGTTGCGATCGCAATGAATTCAGATTGTGTGCGGCGAGTGACTATTAGCCGAGTCGAACGAAGGAGAAAAATGTATTCCTTTGTGCACCTGCGTGCACGCATAAACATGCGCGCACACACACACACACACACACACACACACACACACACAGAGAGAGAGAGAGAGAGAGAGAGAGAGAGAGAGAGAGAGAGAGAGAGAGAGAGAACGTCATCTCAGCGAGTGAACAAAGTCCACTTTGGCATTAGACACCCTTGGTTTCTGAAGCCTCAGGCAGTAATCCCCCTACCCTTTGCCTCGTGGCACCCCTATAGATCTCTCTAGCCGAGCCACCCTCTCACTCCCTCGTGGCAAGACCCTTTCTACCTCTCCCCCGACTGTCCCCCGCCCGTTTCTCGGCCTCCCGCATCGCCTTCGCTACCTTCACCCTAACCCTCCGTCTCTCTCTCTCTCTCTCTCTCTCTCTCTCTCTCTCTCTCTCTCTCTCCCTCTCTGTCTCTCTCTTTCTCTCTTACTGTTACAGTCCGTTCCCGCCTTCGTCTGTTTCTCGTTCCCTAGAGCAGC